ACTTCTGATCCACTCCGCACGTCATGTTACACATAATTATTGATCGGATAATTTAACACGCACTGACAGTTGAAATCGACTTCTACCAGGTGCAATGGAAACAGTTATGTCATGTACAGCAAAGAGTTATGTTCCATGTACTAACCCAAACATTTGATACGACTGCAAATTTTATTGAGGTCAATTTTCACGTCTCGACCATGATTGATGGGCTGAAACGAATTTGAGCTGTGATCCCAGGATGGTGCGGTCTGTGACCAACTGCTAGAGCATGATCCGTATACTGAAGTGAATTTTTGCAGAGCGTTTCGGGAAATTGTCAGGGAGGCTTGAAGCTCGGAGGTGTTGATACACAACTCTTGATCCCCCGTTTCATGCAGTTATTTACAATAATTAAATTGTAGAGCTATGCAGCATAACGCTGCAGATAGACAAGTTGCAAGCGACGTCGGGCGCTATGGGGAGAGCGGCCGTGCGAACTCGGGCAAACCGGCAGGGTCATTGGGGCAAGCCAGCGAAGACCTCGCACGGAGTTTATTTACATCCGCAAACCATGCCATGTGAGCATGGAAGTGTGCAGGGAGCCGCAATCTTGCCATCGGTTCTGTGCGCCACTGTGACTCTGCCTCTTGCTGGCACAGGGCTGGGCTTGTGCGGGAGTTGCAGAGGCGGACGCACAAGTTGCAGAAGCGCGACATGATTGGTCCCCCAGACATCGTCGATGTGCGGGACTTGCACCCAGTCAAGGCGGAACAGCCACAGGTGGCCTTTACAGACCCGGAGCAAGGAGCATCGCAAAAGCCCGATCTGTGGGTTGTGGGCGGAGCTAGCACAGTCATGGATGCTGGTTGTGAGAAGGTTCGAAGTGCACCCACCCCAAAGGACGGGTGCCCCAAGGCGGAGACTGCCCCGCCATTACCCCCTGCCCCGTCCGTCACCGTCTCTGTCGCTAACAGATGTTCCAAGTCGGGGGAGCAATGCCGCACATCGGGTCGCTTCTCGCGGGTCTGGCTTGGCGCGTGGAATACTTGTCTGGTGCGTCGTTGAACAGTCAAGTCAACCATATGTCCATATGGCATCCGACTGTCCGACCGACCCGGCCACGAACCCCTGCTTCTACACTGCACATGCGAAACAGCATCCCGGCATCCACGCAGCAGCCGTTAGATCACCTTACCTCACATTCGCCTGGGTCACCTTCCC